GCTAACGTGTCGTCTTTCACCGCTGTGAGTCCAACGGGTCGGGTCGCTGGTTCGAGCCCTGCGGTCGCCACATGTGAATTGAGTTTGTTTGATGTGTTGTTCTCTCCTATGCTACGAGGGTTTTCTCCGGGTTCTCCGGTTTCCTCCCTCCATAAAAATCAACATGTGAATTGAGCGTTGTGTGCATAGAATATTAAATGTAGTGGTAGTGCGTGTGAGTGAAAAGTGTCCCCAATTAGTGCGAAGGCCCTAGAACGACTAGACACTTAAATAAAAGTGATTTTTATTTTTTATTCCTCTCTTTCTCGTTTGCTTTTCCTCATCTTTTACCTTCTATAGACTAACCTTCTCCATACATGCCACCATCACAATTTTCATAAGATTATTGCCTTTCAAACTAATATTATCATAATACCTTTATCGCTTTACAGTCATAACTTGTAGAAGTATGAACCCCCCGGAACACGGTAGAGTCAGCCCTGCAGAATGTACCGCCAATCCGAGAATAGGTACCACATGCACCGTGACGTGTAACGAGGGATACGCCCCATATGATATGTATGGACTGTCTAACGACAAAACAAAGTGCAATGGATACTGGACCAATGGAAACAAGATAGTTTGTAAAGGTAATAAGGACACTCACCGGTTAATCAACCTTGTTTAGTTTTTAGTAAATAAGTGTAATCCTGTCAGTCTTTCTTGCTGGCTTCCACCAAAAATTTCCTGATGAACGAATTAGAAATACAACCGTCTATCAAGGGCTTGAATTTATAAGGGCTTCAATGTCCGCAAGAACGGTATGCATTTCAGTGTTGATAATAGCACAGGCAGCCCAATCTCTTGAAGAAATAGAAAACGGTCCGCGTTAAACTTGTATCAGTGTGTAGCTAAACATCCAGAACGCACAGCCATTATGTTTCTTAAAATTGATTTTTCCATATCTTTAAGATATTCAAAAACCTGTTTTCACGAGCTGCCCTACCAAGCAAACCGTTGTTTATGCTGACAAGATGAAGAGTACTGCAACAGTATCTTGGAAACCAATTGAAGCTAAAGATAACGATGGCAAAGTCCCAGAAATGACTGTCACCCCACAAATCATCCCATCCAGTTCCACTGATTACAATTTCAAAGAAGGACACCATTTCATAACGTACRTCGCGAGAGATAGAGCTGGAAATACTGCAAAATGTAGCTTTACCGTCATCGTCAAAGGTTAGTTTTCAAATGAACATCAGTCCCGAATCATCATCATGACTAAACAACCATTACCTATTCTATTTCTCACACCATGCAGTCAGACGATGTCCTACCATAAGAAGCCCACTGCATGGTAAAACATTAGGCGAAGGATGCTCAAATCTGGTGGGTTCCAAGTGCATTTTTGAATGCGATGAAGGCTACAATATGACAGGATCTGCAGAAAGAGAATGTATAATAGAAGGGCAGTTCGATACGATAAGATGGACAGATGACACGACTAAAGAAATAGAGATCAACACAACATTAGAGGCTGGCAGCAACACTACTCTGCTCAACTCAACGACATCCTCGGCAGTCGGTGTGTCAATATCTACAGAAGCTCAAGGAAATACATCTAAAACAAAGTCGGTAGAACCAAATTCTACAAGACCAGTAAGAGTCAACGCGTCATCAGAAGTTGATGCGTCGAGACCAAAAAGAATCGTTGGAAGAAAACAGACCGGTGCCATCACCACTAGATGGACGGGAGTAGAAACGAAATGTCGCCGTAAGTACTTGCCTGTCTGTGTTATGCTGTCTTTTACAGCAGTTTTTTTATATGACTGCGAAAAGCTCGTTGCCGTATGCGTGCCTTGCGGCCACCGCGATGTTTTCTAGGATTTTTATTGTCAGATCTTTTTCGTGCGAATTTTTTTGCGCAATGTGATTGGTCTGGCGTACTTAGACAGTGCCGTGACATTGACGTGACCGTATGCGCGCCACGTTCATGCCTTGTTTTGCGTATTTGATTGCATGGAGAGTAATTTCTTGCGCAATGTGATTGGTCTTGCGTACTCAGACAGTGCCGTGACATTGTCGTAACCGTATGCGCTCCATGTTCATGCCGGGTTTTGGGTATTTGATTGGATGGAGGGTACTTTCTTGCGCAATGTTATGGTACTGGCGTATGCCTTGCGCTGTCATGACCACGTTGGTGACGCGAGCTTTTCACAGTCATATGAAAACTGGGCATGCTATACTTCTTTTCCATTACATTTTCATTCCGTCGTCGTTTGTTCATTTGGTTTGTTGGTTGGTTTTACTCTTGGCTTCTATTTTTCGTTTTATAGAGATCACGTGTAATGCACCTCCTGTTCCGGAGCACGTGGAAAAGGAAGTAATACCCGGATGTTTTGACGACAATCCTCCTTACAAAACCATTTGCAAGTTTGAATGCGGGCCTGGATATGTAGCTATCTCTGGCTCCAAGACTAGAATGTGCAAAAAAGATGGTTTGTGGAGTGGTGAAGATTTGAAGTGTGAAAGTAAGAATAAATTTTCTGAAATTGCACTAAGAATGGATTATTCGACATTAAATACGTGCCTGAGACCGCAAACGATACCATTATTTTCTTGACTTAATCCAGTCAACAAGGAGGCGCTCACTGAGAAATCTGAGAATTTTGCTTATCTATTGGTTAGCCTACTTTCCTAGCAACTTCTAATACGTTTCAGCCTCTAGCTTAAGTGTATTCTATTGTGTTTTTGACAACTTCTAGTTGTGAGATGTCACACTCTGCCTKAGCCATCTGAGGGACTTTATGTGTCAAACAAGACCTTCGTTACCAATGAATCAGTGTATCAAGACGAGTGTCAATACGAATGTAAGCACGGTTACTTACTGGCAGGCCCCGATGCAAAGAAGTGTTCTGGGAATGGAGAATGGTCACCGAATGCAAATCCATTTTGTAGAGGTAGTATAAACTTGTAGCCAATATATACTATATGCTATAGTTAGAGAAGTGATTTATGTTTCATCAAGCTAATTGTTCTCGTAAATAACCATGATAGGAAATTTTGACATCCTTTGAACCAATCACAGCGCATGAAACCACTGCTCAGCCAATGTAAAAGGACACGGTACCATTATGGCAGGGCACGATCGTACTGTGAATTTCCTAAAGCATAACCATAACCATATCTTGTGTTAGATATTGCAATGCCATCTTTTTGTGCCACTTGTCCTTCTGATACCAAAATTGTTGCGAGAGTTTCCTAAAGAATAACCATGACCATATCTTTGTGTTAGATATTTCAATGCCATCTTTTGGTGCCACTTGTCCTTCTGATACCACAATTGTTGCGAGAGTTTCCAAGAGTATAACCATAACCATATCTTGTGTTAGATATTTCAATGCCATCTTTTGGTGCCACGTGTCCTTCTGATACCAAAATTGTTGCTAGAGTTTCCAAGAGTATAACCATAACCATATCTTGTGTTAGATATTTCAATGCCATCTTTTTGTGCCACKTGTCCTTCTGATACCAAARTTGTTGCGAGTGTTTCCTAAAGAATAACCATGACCATATCTTTCTGTTAGATATTTCAATGCCATCTTTTGGTGCCACTTGTCCTTCTGATACCAAAATTGTTGCGAGAGTTTCCAAGAGTATAACCATAACCATATCTTTGTGTTAGATATTTCAATGCCATCTTTTGGTGCCACTTGTCCTTCTGATACCAAAATTGTTGCGAGAGTTTCCTAAAGAATAACCATAACCATATCTTTGCGTTAGATATTTCAATGCCATCTTTTGGTGCCACTTGTCCTTCTGATATCGAAAAAGTTGCTAAACGAGCTAAGAGATCAACTAAAGTGATGTGGGACTGCCCGTTAGCAAAAGACAACTCTGATGAGGAACCAGTGGTCACACACATTGGAAAGAATCCAGGAGATGAGTTCAACGAAGGATACCACACCGTTCGGTACGAAGCAAGAGATAAGGCTGGTAATTCTGCCAGATGTATGTTCCAAGTTAACGTTAAATGTAAGTGAATGACTGTTTTTCTTACTCTTTGAATATTGTGGATCTTCACGATGTGTATCACTTTTTGTCTTACAACATAGAAAATACAGCCAATCAGAATGCAGGAACTAAAACTGTTGCATATCATTGCTTGGCCATCAATTACCTGAATGAATTTCGTAACCCATTACCAGTCCTTAGTCAAAACCTCTACTGGTAACTCAAAAGCTCTTTCTTCCTTATTCTTATTTCATATTGAAAACGGACCGTTACAAACGAGGTCTAGTGACAGAGCTAAATTGTTCGTTACTTCCCCCCAAATTTTCTGTCGAATTTATCAGTACACAATCCATTCTCATTCAGTTATACTCTGACGTATATCCTACTTTCATGTCGTTTTTCTCGATAATAATATAACTGTTTTAAATACCTTGACTTTTTCTTTATTCCCATAGTGATCACGTGTGCGCAGCTCCTTGCACCACTCCGAGGCTCAATGGAATGCTCTAATGAGAACATCTATGGGTCAGAATGTATTTTCCGTTGTAACAAGGGATATACCCTGAGTGGATCCTCAAGAAGAACGTGCGAAAAGAAGGAAGATGGAACATCAGGGTACTGGAGCGGCAACCATACATACTGTGAAGGTTTGTCTCAAAACACTGTAAAGAAAAAGAATAGCATTTTAGTGGAAACATTCTTGGCTGAAATAAAAATGGTCTCCTTAATATTAACTATCTCAGTCACATCTAATCCATCTCAGTCACATCCAATCCATCTCAGTCACAACCAATCCATTCCAGTTACATCCAATCCATTTCAGTCACATCCATGCATCTCAGTGACATCCAATCCATCTCAGTCATATCCAATCCATCTTAGTCACATCCCTCTTAGTCACATCCAATCCACCTCAGTCACAACCAATCCATTCCAGTTACATCCAATCCATTTCAGTCACATCCATGCATCTCAGTCACATCCAATCCATCTCAGTCACATCCAATCCATTCCAGTCAAATTCAATCCATTCCAGTCACATCCGATCTATGCATCAATCCTACTGCTCACCCTTTCCTAATCTCTTCCTATCTGCATTGTTTATTTTTTCTCTCCCTTACCTCATTCCAGTGATCACGTGTCCCATTTTGGACTACCCCGAGAATGGTTTCAAGACAGGTTGTTTACAGCACACGTTTGGAGAAAAGTGTCTTTTCTATTGCAACATGGGATTCGAAGCCGTGAGTGGATCCAGCAGTCGAACTTGCATGGAAAATGGCAAATGGACTGGAACACCTCTAGGTTGCAAAGGTTAGCCATAAAAGACGCGGTACTCATTATACTGTTACATTTGCAATCTAAAAAGAAAACACTTATTTGTCGGCTCTCGATTTTTCGTTGTGAAACTTCTTCAGACTATGGTTAGCCATCAAAAAGAGCGGGATAAGATCACATGACTATAGCCATTGGGGTGCATTATCGCCAATCGCTGAGCCAAATATTATTTTTATATGGGAATGAAAGCCATTTTCCCCCAATTCTTTACAGCTATAACTTGCCCAAGCCTTAAATCCCCACCTCATGGCAAAGTTGTCCCAGATGATCAATGTTCGCTGAGCCAAATATAATTTTTATAT